AGTGTAACCTTCTTATACCAACATCCACATGTGGTAATCTATAGATTATAAAAATGTAGACATTCAAATTTTCCAAAAATGAAATAGTATGTTGTCAAATAATAATGGAAGAGTTATGAAATAACTCTCTGAAGTGTTACGGTTACCAAAATATGCCATGATCAATTTTCGTAAGTTTTCCTAAAACACTATTTTGAGACCCTGCTCTGATACCAATTGAAAGAACGAGATGCATCAAGAGGGGGGGGGGGTGAATTAGTATTTTAAAAAATAAATCCTAAATATGAGTTTTATTTTTATTTTTTTTAATTTTTGGATTTTTGTTTATTTCAAAAGGGTGTGAGGCCTGCAATGCTTTATGGTGCCGAATGTTGGCCTTTAAAAGAGAAGCATAATACTAAGTTAAGTGTGGTAGAGATGAGGATGCTTAGGTGGATGAGTGGCTTTACCCTTAGAGATAGGATACGAAATGAGCATATACGTGAAAAGGTTGGAGTAGCTCCAGTAGAAGATAAGATTAGAGAGAGTCGCCTTAGATGGTTTGGTCACATAAAACGGTGGCCTTCCAATGACCCGATTAGGAGAGTAGAGGTATTAGATTTGACTTATGTTAAGAAAGATAGAGGCAGACCTAAAAAGACTTGGTTAGAAAATATTAGGAATGACCTTTCTTTATTAGATTTAGAGGTTGTTTGGTTGCCTGAATTAGGAGTGTAAAGTAAAACAATTACTTTTATTTATTAAATTTAATTGTTTGGTTACTTTTGAGTGAAACAAAAAGAAATCATCTGAAGCATTAGAAGTGTATTAGGGAGTGTTTCGCGTGAATTAGAAACCCGCTCAATATGAGCGGATTCTAAATTCATCGGAAGAAATCTTGGCATCGTCGTCGTGCTGTTCGGCTTCATTGCACGAGAGGCTTCTTCGGCTCCTTCATTCTTGTTCGACTTCGGTACTTCGACGACGTCCAATTCGGCGGACTCGGCCACCAGAGTCCGCCGCTCTCGCTTTATTTCACACGCCGACGCCGTCCGCCTAATCACCCGTCAACCCGATCCCCAGAAGTCACTCGACCTCTTCAACTCCATCGCCACCCAACCAGGCTTCTCCCACAACCACTCCATTTACGCCGCCCTCCTCCTCCGTCTCGCTCGCGCTCGCCTCTTCCTCGCCGTCGACGCCGTCCTCCGTCGTGCCGCCTTCGAACCCTGTCGATTCCATGAATCCCTCCTCATCTCCCTCATGCCCATTTTCTCCCGCTCCTCCCTTCATGAAAAAATCCTCGAAGCCTTCCACCTCATTCTCTCCATTACTCGCACGAAGCCATCTAATAAAGCTCTTAGCACCTGCCTCAACCTCCTGGTCGAAGCAAGCTGCATTGATCTCATAGAAAAACTCCTTGATGCCAAAACCAAGTTAATGCTAGAGCTCAATACTGTACGCTTAACATCCTCGTTAAGCTCCACTGCCGTGCGGGTGACCTCGCCTCCGCCTTCCATTTGATCGAAGTTGACAGACCAAGAGCTTCTCCAATTGATGTTCATATTCGGACACAAATAACAGATGCAAATGATGCCAACAAATTGGTTATGGCTGAATCTGGAGCTCTGGAAGCATTGACCAAGTTTTTTTTTTATGTCCAAAGGATTCTACCGAAGCCTCCATAACTGATCTTATTCGGATCTTATATTGCTTTTGTGTTTTTATTTTATGATGGACAGAGATCTTATTCGGATCTTAAATTTGATAAACATATGGATTAAGTATTTTGAATTTTGTATTATGCATATAGGACAAAGTAGATATAAGATAGGGGCATTGGTTTGAACCTCTGCTGTATCTTCATGGAAAACTAAGTGAATTGTTTAGCAATCCACCATACACACCAAGCAGTCATATTCCTGGCTTACAAGCTGAAGTTGGTAAACATGCGAATCTTGAGCTTATTTTTGACTCATCGAGATGCTGACCACTAACACCCGTGCTTGAATGTCTGAGCTACTTTCGGCCTGGAGCGATAGCTTTTTCCCGCTGCGAATCTTAAGCTTTTTTTAATTTTCCTGGTGGTCGGTAAGAGGTGTTTTCGGGTGCATGCGATTAGATGGGAAGGGGTGAGAATTTGTTTGTTTGTTTACCTTAATTTGATTTAGGTTTACATAAATTAAATTATATTTAAAAAATTTATAACATTAAATATTACTAATTATTATAAATACATTGCTTTTATAGATATACTTATTTTAATGCTAAAATAAATTATTACAAAAAAATGCTTTTACTTTACTTTGGATATACCTAACCAAACATGAGAAATAATTCTCATGCGTTTATTTTGCATACAACCAAACAGACTCAAAGTATTTAGAATGCATTACATTTACTTTACACTGCATTTCTTTTTCAGGCAACCAAACAGCCCCTTAAACGAGAATTTGACCTTTAATAGGACACAATGAAGAAAAAGGATTCATGTAGCCGACCCCACGTAGTGGGATAAAGGCTTGATGTTGTTGTTATTGTTGTTGGAAGAGTTGAGGATCGGTTCAAGAAAGAACATCAAAGAAAGGTTCCCTCTTCGAAAATATGGGTGTTTGGGCTAAAATCAAGCTAGGGTCCTGATCTAGCAAGACATAGTCCTATCTATCTACCTCTCCAAACACAATACCTTGCCAAAACCATGTTCAGTGCTACAAAAGCATAGGCTGTAGCCCTCTAACATCTTCGGCTCCTCGTTTTTTTAAACTATAGCCTTCTGATAGAGATTTGGAGCATCATTCAAATAGAAAGCTAAACCGCTCTTTCATGCGAGACAACAATGCTAGGGGTAGATACACATTGAAATTTCAAAGAAAAGAGTTTGGACCGTTCTGAAGAATACCCCGGGAAAAACGAACATCTTCCAATTTCTTAGTAGCTCTTCTCGAACTGCTTTTTGACGCTAAGGCCATTAAATGATTCATTAGATAAGCAAAAATAGAGGATCTTGAGTACTATTCTAAATTCAGAAGAACTATGTAGAGGATCCATTGTACAGCTCAAAGGAGTTCGGGTTAGATTATGGAAAGTAGAAATTGAAGCAGAAGAGTATTAAACGAATGGATACTCTGAGATAGAATGAGAAAAGTAAATTTGATTAATGCTATTGGCAAATGTTTGGAGCGATTAGAAAATTATAAAAATGAAACTCTCTCTATGCAATTAGTTTCGTACCGAACGACGGAAGTTCTCAATAGAAGTTCGGGTGCTATTATTAGGCAAAGAGGTTGGATAGCGACAATCACGTGGAAAAAGTAAGATTTCGCTGAAGTATGGCTAGCAACAGCAGGGAAGGTTTCTCTCGCTATGGCTCTTCCACAGGGGATGATGCTTTCTTCTTTTAGTTTTAGTTGGGTTGGAGAGGGAACAAGAGTTGAGAGTTCTAATTGATGTTTCTGGCCCAGCTCATCTCAATGCCATAAAAGTGCCTACCCTCTCCACTTTGCATGCTGATGCAGTCCCTACATGACCAACTTAAAACCTTTTCAATTATCATTAAAATAATTTCTATAAATGCACAATGTTTGTAATTCTTTTGTTTTTCCAAGTAAAGCTATTATTCACAAAAATAAAATAAAATTTTGCATTAAAAATATAACTTTTTTGGCTTTCCACGTGAACCTACACATTTTCCTTTTGAACCTTTTGCCACAATTGTATTCACCCCATGCTCTCTATTTTGCATGATGACACCATAGTTACATGGTGTTCAAATGTTCTTTATAACTTGTAAATACATATTTAAGTATGTTGTCCTTTAGAATTTACACCTTAAAACTCTTTCTAAATACTTATTAAATGAGATTGGCAACACAAAGAATGTTTTTGTCTTGCTAAGTGACACTATATTATGAGCAAATAACACAAAACACTTTTCATTAAAAAGTTTATAATGCAATGTTATGTTATGTTATTTAAAATAGTCAATTGTTTGGTTCACCAACATCTTTAAATAAGATTTATGACAGTTATACTTGGCCGACATCTAATGTCATCACGAAATTTGAATAATACTTTTATTGTATTATAGTAAGGATGGCATTAACTTATTTTATGCTAATAACACAAAACAAAAACACTATCTGACAGATAACATTGAAATCTTAATAAGACTAAAATCCCAGAAACATTGAACCAAATAGCCCCGAAATTCTTTTTAAAAGTAAAACAAAAGCCCCCACAATGTGTATTTTGTTATTAACATTTAGATTTTTGCAACTAAAGATAGCTTTGAAAATAATTTAAAGGCTATGAAACCTTCGAGCTACCGGCCGGAGATGTAAAACAACTTGGTTCGAAAACAAAAAGAGAAATTTTAGTGAAATACCATTCACTCGCCGTTCGCATTTCAAAATTTTGTGATCGATGATCTCCTCCCCGTAAGTAATATTCGCACCATATTCGGCAGCCAGTAACCTAAATGGTAGAGTGCCCTGTATTAAAAATACTTTGATATGACTCACTTAAACTTTCAATTGGCCGTGAAAGGATCGTATAAATGAATAAACAGAATGAACAAAAGAAACAAGGTTTGTTCAACATGCTGCAAAAAGCACATTCGAGCAGAGTAAAGATTCATAAACTTTATACCTTAGAAGGAAATTTTTAAACTAAACCCTAGGCTGTAAACTATGAAACATCTTCCACACGAAAAACACCGCTTTTATGTCGAAGTTGGGAGGTTGGGAGGAGGAAAGAAGTATGACTAACCACACGAACCATGGGAGCGAGGATGTGCTTGTTCTCGTATTCCATTGCGGCGTTTCCTCGGCCTTCAGAGGACTCCGGTCGATCTGCTCACAAAATGGCCAAATAGGATTCCGGGTCAATGCGTCTTCCCCGCGAATTATGTTTCGCTGGGTGCTTAAACGGGGCTCGCAGAGCAAAGGTTTTTTTATATATATAAGAATTTAAAAACACGTTAGAAAGTAGAAACTCTATATATTTATTAGGGGTGTCAAAATAATTGTGCGGAGTATCGGGTTGATCCGATCCAACCTGTACGGGTTAGGGATCACGCGCATTCGTGCGCACTACAGAGCCAGGCTATCCACAAACAGGTGAATATTGACCCTAACCCGAATTTTTTCTAGTCGGATTTACGGGCTTGTCAAATATTAACAACCCTAATATTTATATATCTAATCTTTAAATTTTTTATATTTATTTATATAATATTTTAATTTCTAAGTAACTTTCTAATATATGCATAAATAGGTGTATTTCTTTTAAAATAAGTTAATATTTTGATATATTTAATCTCATCTAGAGATTAAAATATTGTATAATTAAATATTAATTTTTGTATGTTGATTGATAGATAGAAGAATTTAATAATATGTATATACACCTCATAATATGAATGGAAATTTAAAAAGTCATAAAAACAATACTTTTTCTTGACCTTCATGTGGAAAATTAATATTTTTAAAATATGTTGTATAAACCCTTCTAAATGGTGGGCAGAGGATTAAGGTCAGCCTACAAGGGTCAAAAAAGTATAGTTAGGTGATGATAATTATATGATCATAGTAAGGCAGTTCACAGCCTTATGGTAGTAAGGCCTTTAGAGTGGTCAAAAATGGAGTTCGATTGGAGATGAATCACACCATTATGTAGTTTCACGACATTTTGGAGTGAAAAATGAGATTTTCGGTTGGAGATGCTCTTACCCATGATGTCCTTCTTGAAACATCTTCCTTCTCCCTAACAGTGTCACCCCAGCTCCCTTGTTCTAGCCTTCTCCTCTTGGACCCATGCTCGAATATCCTTCTCTTGAAACCGTAGCATGCATAACCATGACCTAACAATGATGTTGCTTCTCCCTTGTGCTTTTTTCTTTTCTTCCTCGATCTTTGTTGCACTACAGGAAAAAGGCTGATTTTCGATGAATTCTTTTTTATCAAAAAATCGACAAATTTCTATTTGGAAAAACACATTTTTGACAGATTTCAAATGAAAAATCTTCTGCATGTAAAACACACATCGAAAAACAATTACCAACAAAATAAATCTGTCGAAAAACTTTCCAACTCCACTCCACCAACCAAATGCCGGCCATCCCGCTGCCCACTAAGGCTTCGTTTGATTCGGTTTATGCTTACATAAAAATGAGTTTTAGAAAAGGAGGTTGAGAAAAAGCCGTTCAATAAAATGGAGTTTTAATAATGAGATATGTTTGACTAATATTTTTAAAAGTGCTTATTAATACTTGAAAGTAATTTTAAATTGTTTGTTTAGAAGTTCTGCTTTTGAGATTTTATTATAAAAGACATAATTACTTTAATAATCTTTATTTTAAAAATATTTTATTTATGTTTAAAACTATTTAAATTAATTTATCTTTTAAATTTTCCACCGAAATTTTCTTTGAAAATTTACATGAGTTACTTAAGTGTGGGAGATTGTTAAACCCCTTTAGTCTAAACTCTTAAACATCGAGACACATTTAGTGTAATGGTTATAATTTCATTAAGAAACTTCGTAATTAAGCATACTCATCCCGGAGAAATCCTGGGATGGATGACCTCCTGAAAAGTTACACAAACAGGATAAAACCATGAGGCCTCTTTGATCAAAGCGAACAATATCTCGATAGTTAAGAGTTTGGATGTTACGTACAAATGATATCAGAGAAATATATTAGCCGAAATATAGGAGCCACCTCTTGAATCATGTATGGGAGAAAGCCCTACGTGGCGGTAATCACCACTTGAACTAATAAGGGCCAACTCTAGTCTTTAGAATCCTATTTGCCTGATTGATGATTCTGGGATAAAGATATTAACGGGAATGTTAGTTACTTCACTACAGGACAATTTGGATATACCGGCATACTTTTTGGCAGAATTACATCTGCCTGTAGTAGCGGCGATGTAACCAGTGGATATTCTGCCAGTAACTTAGCGACGGGTTTTCCAGGGGAAAAACTACTGAAACGTTTCCGGTGGAAAACCCGTCAACAAAGCAATCAATATGCCAACTTACTTAAACTCGACGAAATGTTTAAGTATTGATATTTTTCAGAGGAAAATGGATGACATTTAGCATGATGATCGAATCATGACTACCTACCTTTGAGTAGCATGCTATTATGACTACTTGATCAAAGTAAGGCTTCACTTGAAATAGTTTTTTGACTATTTTGTTTGTTTTCAGGTTGTAACCACAAATTTTATTTCGTCATTACTTTTTCATTGCTTTCAAAAACAATTGTACTACAAAGCTATTTTCTACAACAACTTAAAAAAAACTACTTCCTCTACAACAGCTTTAAAAATCAATAAGAAAGTTGTCCTAAATAAAGCTTACATTAGGTACATATAATAAAGATTGAAAATAATGCATATTAATTTTCAACATGGATGAATATTTTCCTTTATTTCAATCTGAATGTAAGCAGTTGATTACATTCATTGAAATCTGCATATTTTATTATATTTAGTTGTTCCCAAGCTGATAGCTATCGAAGTATCTTGGTCTGTTGGTTGGGGAGCTTAGGCTACCAACTAAGAGATCTTGGGTTTGAGACTTGTGTATGCGATATGCGTGTGAATCTGCCTTAATTGACCAAATGTTCCTAAAAAAAAAGTACGTTATTTGCTGGTCCATGTTTCTTACCAATGTGAAAAATTGATTTATTAAATGGAATGCCTGAAATGAGCCACTGAATTCATAACAATTTATTTAACACATTCAGGTATGTGTAGATTGGACTTCACCACACTGCACAAATGACAAATGAGCAAATCAAAATGAAATTTATTCTCGATGTAGATGATCACTTGGCACAAAGTTCTTACATAATAACTATAATCATGAAATATATTGCATATATTGAGATAGATAGCCACATTATTCAGCTGCATATACATGCAGAAACACTAACAGTGCATGTTAATAAACGACAATGAGATCTACAGCTCAACAATCTAAGGTTTAGTCTCATTTGTAGGGAACTGCTTAGGGATGCCCGGAATAAGTGGGTTACTTGGAGTGGCTGGTGGAGGGAGCTGAGGTATATTTGGCAAATTCGGTAAGGGAGGTAAGGTTGGCAAGGTTGGCAATGGTGGAAGCAGTGGAAGAAGAGGTGAAATGTTGACAGACGGCAGAGGGGAAGAAGGAATTGTATCTTTTGAAGCTTCAAAGTTTGATGATCCCTCGACACTTGGTCTCTGATAGCAAAGTTCTGGTTGATTCAGGGGCCTGAAGGTGAAGAAACCAGATGAGAAAACATGAATCTTGTTCGTTGTTGACTTGAGATGAAAGGAAGACGAAGTAGCAGAAGCAGCCACGGCGCAGAATGGCTCGTTGCTGCTTAGGAGCTTCACAGAGCATCCCTTTATCTTCTTAACATGTTTTCCAATCTCAGAAGGAAGCTGTACCCTAAAAACACCATCTTTGTCTGTTTTGACTGCTTTTCTGAAGCTGGTCTTCGTAGCCTGGTTGCTGCAGTCTACCATAACTGAAGCACCTGTAATGGGATGAAAGCTTTTCTATTATCTAATTAATGCAGATTATTATGATGGAAACAGATTGAAAATGCCAAGAACTTGGAACCTGAAATGAGTTGGTAGTTTCTTGAAGAATTCTGGTGGAAGCAGGTGTCACAGTAAACTGTTCCGACGATCATTGCAGATGGGGGATGGTTCTGATTAGTGCTGTCATAAGCAGCAGAGAAGCAGATGTGGCTCAGAGCAAGGAATGGAATCCAAGAGATCATGTAGTAGAAGCCCATTGTTCGATTGCTCCTCAATCGTGAAGAACAAGGTGAGTTTTCTTTTCTGGTTTGAATGTTATATAGTTCAATCAAATGATATATATATAGAACTGAAAGTTTTGGGAGATGGAATGGTGGTCAAGCCATTCTTGTGAAAAGCCAGTGCAACCGCTAGCCACAAAAGGTGAATGCATGTGAATTGGGATGAAGAATTGTTTAGAAGAATCTCTCCCTCTCTCCTCTCTCCTCTCTCTCTCTCTCATGACACTACAACTAGGGGCGAAATCGGCCATTATTTTCAAAGGGGGCAAACTTATAAATAATTGTTGGCAATATGTCGGGGGTCTAAGGGGGCAGCGCCGCTGCCCCCTTGTATTAAAGCCTAAAAAATAGATTGAATGGGACAAATTGCCTAAATAATCCTAGAATGAATAAAAAAAAATTTTAGAAGGGGCAATTGCCGCTCCGGGATCAAAGGGGTTCCGACCCTGACTACAACAACTTATTTATTGTTCTTTGAAAGAATTTCTCCTTCACTGAAAGCTTGTGTGTGACCGTAAGCCTGTTTATGAAGGATGATGAGAAGCTTCACATGGATTGTGTTTGTGAAGTTTCTTTCCAACTAATATTTGTCTTCCTTCAGAATTTTGGTTGAGCAAAAAGTGGATGGCAAAATGAATTCTTTTTCCAAAAGGAAGTTCTACATTACAGGCCATAACCTGCTCGTGATTTCAATGAACTCTTATTTTCCTCCTGTTCTCCAGACTTGTCCATTTTAGACAGTCTACTGGGTTAAAAAACGACATCTGCAGTAGAAAAAAAATTCATTTTGCTCCATAGGCAAATTTAAGAATCACGAGAAGCATTGTAATGCAAGGCATCCTCATGGAATATTCATAAAGAAAAAGTTTGTGAAGTTGTTGTGATTTATTTTTCTCATATTTTCACTAAATTTGATTTCAAAGTAATTTTAAATTCATGAAAAATGTTGAATAATATTTAAAAGCCTAATTACAGGAAGAATGACAGAGACCCAAGCCAATGATCAAAGACAAGACCCATTGACAAGAGCCTAAGTTAAAGCCATTAAGGACCATTTAAATTAGTATTTTATTTTTTCTTTTACAATTTTATTTTATTTATTGGGACTAGTTTGGGCAGCCAATTATATGTGTGTATTGTTGTTCTGTAATGAAATATTTTTAATTTTTGATAGAAAAAATTTTTTTGTGGCGATCTTTATTCTCTTTGGTTAGTCTCAGTGGCCTAGCTTAGCATTTTTTTTGTGGGGTTTGATTTATATGTTGCGCTCTTTAATTTTTTATGCAACTCTTGTTCTAAATCAACCCACACCTTTCTCTAGATCCTAATCATCACCTATGCCAAGCCTCCCATCACCCAAACTCTCAAATCTGCACATCCCATAAATAGCACTGGGCCAAGCCTAGGTGGATAATTACCAGGGGTGTCAATTCGGGTCAGCGGGTTGGGTTCGGGTCATACTCGGAATTGACCCGACACTGTTCGGGTCAACCCGAACCCGAGCTGATTCGGGTCCGGGTCAACCCGACCCGACACGAATGAACCGAAGTTGACCTAAGATTGCTAATTTTCGGGTCAATATTCGATTTTCGGGTCAAAATCAGGTAAAAAACGGGTCAATCTCGGTTTTCGGGTCAAATATGAGTTTTCGTGTCACTTTCGGGTCAATTTCGGATTAGTTTCGGGTTGCTGGGTCAACCCAAACCCGACCTGATTTTTAAAACGGGCTGATTTGTTCAACCCGAACCTGACCCGTTTCGGGTTCTGGTTGACTCAAACCCGGATTTTTTCGGGTCGGGTTCGGTTCGTGTTTCGAGTCGTGTCAAAAATTGACACCCCTAATAATTATGTATTCTTATTCTCCACTTCACTACAAGACTTTAAACCTCACCAAATACCATTCTAAACCATCCACAGTCATTTTCCAACTTTTAGATCACTTAAAACTCTTTCCCAAAATAAATAAGTCAAATAAACCCAAATAAGCCAATTTGGGCTAGTCTTGATTTTTCTTCCATTACACCACTCTAAAGGCCTCAACTTCCTATAAAAATTTTCAAATTACACTAAACATCCATAAGGATTTCCATCCACCAATACCACTAAATGGTTTTTCACAAATGTCATATTTAGTAGGGGTGTCAATTTTGGGTCATGGGCCGGTTTCGGATCGAACCTGGAACTAACTCGACACTATTCGGGTCAACCCAAACTCGACCCATTTTTTGCAAACGGGTCGATTTTTTGAACCCGAACCCGACTCGATTCAAAGTCTGGGTCAACCTGACATGACCCGAATGACCCAGGGCTAACAAAAAATTGCTAGTTTTATGGTCAAAAAATGGATCAATCTCCAATTTTTGGGTAAAAAACGAGTCAATCTCGAATTTTCGGATCAAAATGGGGGTAAAAAACAGGTCAATTTTGGGTTTCTGTGTCAACCCGAATCCGACTCAGTTTTTGAAACGGGTCGATTTGTTGAACCCGACCCTTTTCGGGTCCGAGTTGACCATAGCCCGGAATTTTCTGATCAGATTTTTGGGTCGGGTCAAATATTGACACCCCTAATATTTAGTATGAGAGTTAAGTATAGAAGGAGCAAATTTGGTCATATTTCTTTGCTAACAAAAGAGAGAATTTTACTGTGGTGGAATTGCCTTCATGATGGTGAGTCATTTAAGAACTATTGAGGTTAGTGATTTCTTATTTATAATAATTTAAATAAATGGTAACAGCTTGAAAATATATTATATTGCTTGTATGTTTATGGCCCTAATGTAAAATTCCAACTTGGCACCATAGAGTCTAGCATTTTCTCTATTGTGTCAACTCATCTTCTTGCCAGTATAGAGTCCAGCATTTTCTCTATTGTGTCAACTTGTCTTTCAATCATTTTCTTGAGTGAACACTTTTGTTAGGGAGTGCTCCATTCTTCAAAATAATCCTTATTTTGGTGCAAACTCAAAGCCTCAATCATTTGATTTATTTTCCATTTTAACTGTTTTTGGTGAATACTAATAGTCTATTTTGATAACTTGTAACAACCTACTTCCTTTAGAACTTGAGAATTAATACTTCTAGGCACAATTGTTTTTTTTTTTCATGCATTTTAAGTTTCATGCAAGTGAATGTGAATACAAAAAACTTGGTAAATTTTTAGGCTGAATAAAATTTTATTAAAAAAGATCTCAACTATCTAAGTAGAGTTTGGGATGAGAGAGGTATAGTGCTCTTTTTCTCACTAGTAAGTTCTCTTTGCCTCGATTTTACTTTGATTATATATTTTCTTATCTCTATTTCATCTAAAAACTTTTTTTCTCATTATATTTTGTTGGGAAAGTAAACCAGGCAATGAAACAAACAAGAAAAGAAAATAGTGATAATGAACATTAGATTTTAACATCGAAAAATCAGAAATAAGAAAAAAATCACGGGGCCACACGACACCAAGGAATTCGCAATGAAAACTGAAAGATAGTTTACAAATATCTATCTCTGTGTGTGCTTGTCTCACTTCACTTCTTCAAACCATTCTTCCTTATAATTAACAAAGAGATATACTTTTACAACATGAAGGGATTCAACCCTTCAAGCTAAACATAAAAAAAAGAGAAGAAAAACCGCCCAGCCCGACTTACAGTACCGCGACTCCAGGGGTTTGAGTACTGCGACGGTCCACTCTCTATCTCCAGCCTTACATACAGTACTCCAATGTTGTCTCTACAGTGCCACAACGCTCCACTCTTTCTTTCTAAGTCAAGACTACATTGTTGTCACGCTATATCATACAACACTGCACTGCACACAAATACAGTTCTACAGTGCTCTAATGTATAACACCTCATCTTTATATGAAAAAAAAAAATTCCAGGGGTAAGTTCCCCAAACTCCAAGTAGGGGGAGGCCCCTTTGCAACCCAACAGCATGCTCAACCAAAAAAAAATTGAGTTATAAGTCATGTAATACCCATTGAACTAGTGTGCAGTTGTATATGTTCTGACCCATACTACTAAGGGTATCATAATGAAAATTTTGCATTAATACTTCTTGCATGTGTTTGTAAGTGTTTTGTATGCATGTGAATATCTGAAATTATTTTGAATCAGGTCTCAAGGGCTTGTGTGCATGAATTAAAAATTTAACATTTTTCCCTTGGACCTTGTTGGGGGAGCTACAACGCCAAACTCTCGAGTTTAGGTCATTTAAAATAATCTGGGTTGGCGCAGTGGCATTACTGTCTGGAGCGCCACGACCCTACATAAATTTTAAATGAAAGTATCAAAATCCACTTTAAATCCATTTTTTCATAACCATTTATCCCCAAGTGTTGTCAGTTTAAGAAAGGAAAGAGTGTTAGAGAGAGAAAGCTAATTTCAAACGACTTTGATCTATTTTATGATGTCACCCTAGTTCAGAAGTTGTTGGATCAAATTAGATTACATTTTACCTATCTCAGTTTTTAAAAATATAAAAAATTAAGATTTCTCTAATTTAAATTATAATTTTGTAAGTAAAAATGAGGATAATTTTATATCTGCTAAATATTCACCATATAACTTTTTGTATATTGTATATGCAATCATTTTGGACATTTAGATATTTTGTGGGAAATTTTCACTGGGTAAATTAAAAAATACATTATTTAAGAAAATTAAAAAATTCTAATCCCAAAAATTAAAACTATATTATAATTAAAGCTTTAAAATAATATTCTGAACAATCACTAGTAATCTAGTGAGATTCAAAACTATAAAATTCTGATCAGTTGTTGAATTTGTTGCCAACTGGTAAAGCATTATGTGAATTTTACATCTCTTTAATTGTAATGTAATTATATAATTGCTAATGCCACAACCTAACCCGATTAGGACATCTCCTATTATGTTGAGCTATGATGGAAAATACTCAAGATCTAGTTTTGAAATATTTTAAATTCTATTCCAATATTCATTTTACATAAATAATTGACTATAGAG